TTGTAGCATTTGAGAGTGGCAAACGCCGTGCTTGACTCGAATATTACGGCCTTTACTCTACGCCCCCCACTTGATATCGAAGTGGAAGAAGAAAGACGATTTTTCGCTGGCCAGATGTCCTAACACCCCGGCATATTGAGATAGACCATCATGTCCGAAGCCATTGCACCACTTGTGGCGTCATAATTTCTCAAAAATATTATCTTGCAGGTGACTTAGTCATAGTTAGACCATTTTCTTGTAACGATCAGTTGTCGACTCTCCAGTACGCTCCCTCGACCAAATCGATAGCAATTTTTCTTGAATTGATCCCTGACCTAAAAGCCAGGTCTTCCCGGCGAAAACTAGATGGTCAAAGTTGAGCGTAGTATAATCCAGTTCAATTTATCAGACCAGACCAGACCAGACCGTGCCATTGAACTAAATGGAAGCTGGGAGCACGTCTCTAGCAAGGCTAAGAAGTCGAAGTGCGAGCCGACTTAGATTAGGTTATGCAATTGGTGTATTAGTTGATGTACTTTAGTATGCCGTATGGACGGCGCGCCAACGCCGGGCCACTCGATCCTTACTTCTCGACCACCACCTCAGCCACGCAACCCCAGACCCCTTCTGGACCCTATCTCCTGTCCAATTATCTCCGGGCTCCAGGTGCGGCTAGCGAGGCTTTAGCGACGTACCCTGGAACCCATTTATACGTCTTGGCATCTAGAAGATTAAGCTTCAGTGGGCTCTTATCTGTTTCTATGACTCGATTTCCTCATGGTGCTTGATTTTCTAACCAATTACCAACTGTGACACCTAAAAATGAGCAAAATACGGGACTGATGACATTGAAGACGAGAGGGAGACGGTAAGCTGTAGAGAGCTCATCCTATGTGAAGCTAGTCTTAATAAAATGTGGAAGAAATCAATGTAGATTTCGTGACTAAAATTGTCTCATTGTGTGTATATTATATGAGCCGGTCTTTCTGAGGAGACGCGCCACCTGCATGCAGCTTTGGCTGGACAATGCTGAATGGACGCAGCGAAGGATAATTTTTAGAACCCCGCCAGCGGCTTCAATGGAACAAGAGTGTTGAATAGATCGCCGTCAGTGTTGACATGAGGAACATCAAAAGGGAGTGCGGCACTTGAGAATGCTCCAAAAGTGGAAATTGGCCCGAAACAAGATGGAGCGGCGAGCCGACTTTGGTGGCTGGGCTGGAACAAGGTGCAAGGAACGGGGGTGGCACGTTGCGGCTCATTAGCCAGGGAATAGTAAAAGG